TAACTATAAAGAATTTATCCCAAGAATGTATAGTTAATTTGACACTCAAAAATAAATTAAAATAGTTCACCTTATTAAAAGCAAAGAAGCCAAGCAAAGAGAGTGAGATATTGTTGACACATGCCTTTAATCCCAGTACACTGGAGAATGAGGTTGGAGGACCCCGAGTTAGTATCTATACTGTGATATTTCAGGACAGCCAGAGCAATATAGTGAGGCATCCACTCAAACAAACAAACAACACTAAAACCCAAAACAACGAATGTGGTCATTTCAATAGCTATATCCAAAACATTTGACAAAAGTCATTAGTTATGAAATAAAAACTCTTCCAATGAGAAACACAAAGGAGTCTATAGCATCTCCAGCTGGGTAAGGCATCAGTGTAAAGCTATAACTAATTTCAATCTTCATGGTGAAATTCTGAACACTTCTGTCTGAAGACAGGGAACAAGATTAGAATGTCTGATCTTATATTAAACAATATAAAGTGTTTCTGTAAGCAAATGAGATCTGATTGCACATAAAGCCCCAAGACTATTATGGCAACTTCTAAAACTGGTAATGAATTTTATGAGCCAGTAAATATGATGTTTAATGTAAAAAATAGACTAGGAGCTAGCCATTAGAAAATTACGTTGAAAATTCTTGCACAAGGCAGGAGATAAAGGATCAAATTTATTGAAACCAGTGTGGAAACTTCTCAGAAAACTAAGAATAGAACCAATGATTCATCTCTCCCACTCCTGGATGCGGTCTTAAAGAAATACCATGAGAACAGCACAGAGACACCTGCACACTCATCCTTATCCTTCTTTGTGACTGCATTCACAAGAGTCAAGCTGTGAATCACCCTAGACACCCATCTTGGATGAATGAATAAAGAAAATATGGTCCATGTACACATGACTTTTTTATGACATTTACTAATTTGTGAGAGGGACAGTGGGTGGACACATGCCACAATGCACCATGTCGTCTCCTTCCACAATGTGGGAACAAACTCAGGTGGTTAAACCTGGTGGCAAGTGCAAGGGGCTTTCAACATGTAGGTCGCGACCCCACAGGGGGTGGAATGACCCTCTCACAGGAGTCAAACCTCATATATCCTGCATATATTTACATTATGATTCATAACAGTAACAAAATTACAATGAAAGAACTTTATGGCTGGAGGTCACCACAACATGAGGAGCTGTGTTAGAGAGTCACAGCACTAGGAAGGTTGAGAACTACGGCACTAAGCCATCTTGACAGCCCCTACAGTGTTGTTTTATTCATCCACAAACAAGAATGAAATTATAGAATTCGTAGAAAAAATAGTTGAAGTGGAGGTCATCTTGTTAAATTAAATAAACTAAACTTAGAAAGCAGACACTGAACTTTTGTGGGCAGAATCTAGGTTAAGAAAACACACATATGACATAAAGAGAGAATGAGGACTAATTAGGAAGAGGAGGGAGGAGGAGCAAGAAGGGATGGGATGGAAAACTAAGTGCAGTGATATTTATGTACATACAGTCATACTGAAAGCTATTACTTTGTGTGCTAATTAAAAATATTCTCGTATAAAGGTCAGCGGTCAATAATGGGTGTTGTCCTCTACTGCTACCAGCCTGTTTTTTGAGTCAGTATCTCTTTTTAGAACCTGGAGGTCACTTATTGGTAGTACTAACTGGAGAGCACACTTTACTGACTGATGATCCTCTTGTCCTGGTCCCTTTTCCCTCCGGTGCTGGGTTACAAACATGTCCTGTCACACCCAACACTCAGTCCTCGTGCTTTCCTGGCAAGCACTGTACCCACGGAGACATCTCCTCAGACCCCTCACACTTGATTTTTGAAAAAGGTCTTAAGTGGAATCGTTGGAGAAAGAAAACTATTTTCTTTCAGGAGGTGGGGTTAAAACAAGTGGGTATCTATGGAAAACAATAACTTACCTCAAACCATATTCAAAATCAACTCAAATTTTGTCATGAAGTAAAACATAAAGCCTAGCCAGGATGAACTAACTCAACTGGGGAAGCAGAAGACTGAATAATAAAACACCCGATGAGAAACAGCCACTCAGTTCAGAATGCAGGTCAGCGGTAGGCACCCTGGGTTTGCTCCCAACACTGTGATAGCGATGGTAGTGGCAGCGATTTTACAGGGAAGAGCACAGCGATGTCTTCAGGACATGTGGAGTTCTTAGAATACAAAAGGTGAGAAGCATTTTTTGAAATAATAAATGTAACCTAATGAAAATTAAACTGTTTGGAAAGTACTGAATTGCGGTAACCGAGAAACTGGGGAAATGTGGCTACTGTACATATTCTGTCAGGGTTTGTATCCAGAAGCACAATGTACCCTGACAATTCAATAATGAGTTTTTAAAGAAATAACTCTCTTTTACAAAGTAAAAATAATTGAAACACCGTTCCGTAAAAAATGATGCCCACATGGCAAAGGTACATGAGAGGTTTTCAGTGATAATATTTGGTCAAGTAAATGCAAATTAAAACCGTAACGAGACACCCGAACATACCCACTAGATGGCTAGAACTAAAAGCTGACAGAAGGCAAGAAAAACACTATAGTTTTAACACACTTGTCAAAAATGTGAACTTAAGTAGACATTTTGCTAAGGGTTTGGCAGGTTTTTATAGTTAAATGCTCAGGTACCTAGCAAAGCAGCCATTCTGTTTCTGGATGCTTGTTCTAAAGCAATGAGACCATGTCCATATAAAGACTTGCACACCGATACCCACAGATGATTTATTGGTAGTCACCCTAAACTAGTGTAGAACAAACCAAATATATATCAGCTGGTAAGTGGATAACAAACTGCAATATTTGGGATACCTCTTAACTGGAAGCAGCAAGGAACTATGGGTGATGCACTCTATCATGAGTGACAGTCCTTATGCCTAGGAAAGGAACTCAGACGAAAAAAGAATATTTTGTTTTATATACATGTAATTATGTATATGTATAATGTATGTAAAATATAGTACATATGTATATATGTATAACATATATTTGTCATTTCAATACTCATTCATATACATTAACATTCCAAACATACACATGCGTACACATTATATACATACATATTCAGAAGTAGAAAGTGGGACTGCTTGTTATCATGAATGCAATGGTGTTTTCAAGGGCTTATTCAGTTGCTGAAACAGGTTGAACCATGCCATTTCTATAAGAACCATTTATTCTATGTAAATTATACTTCAACGCAGTTGTTAGTTTGGTATAACCTCTAACAATGCTCAGGGAGAGAAGAACAGGAAAATTGGGGGTGCAGAAATCAATCTATATGATGCTAAAATATAGACACATGGCAGGAGCATTTGTCAAATCCCATGGAACTGTGTGATATGATGAGTGAGCCCTAAGTAATCTGTGAACTTCATTTAATAAATCTATTGAACATTGGTTTGTTGGTTTTAACTCGTGAACCCCACATAAGCACAGAATATTTGTGATTGGGGAAACTACCAGGAGAGGGGATTACCCTGCTCCATTTTTCTGTAAGCTTAAAAGAACTCTTTAAAAAAAGATGGTTTTTAAAATGTGGAATACACAAAGTACCCAATAGATTATCAGTGTAGTTTCTAGAACTATTTCACTGGTTTATCTTAAAAATGAATTCAGCTGAGAAGAGAACACTTAAATTCATATTTCAGCTTCACCATAACTTTCCCTGTAGGTTAATATTCCAGATGACAAAGGTATCATATTCTTTTGTAAAGATATTTTATTTGTAAATTCTGTGCATGGATGCAAGTGTTCAGGGAGGTGGTGTCTGTTACAGGTCTCAGAATTGAACTCTGACCTCTGCCAGAGGATTAAATGCCCTTAACCACTGAGCAACCTCTCTATTCCCCTGTATCGTTTTCCTAGTAAATTATTCTCTAGTCCTTAACCTTCATTTATATCCCAATTCATACAAATTCGACTGGAACGACTGATATTAGATTTGCAATGTCTGGAACAATTAACTGATTTTGACTAAATGTGGCAAAAAAATAACGGGTTTTTTTCTTTGTTTTCATGACTTCTTCATGGGTGTCCCCAAAAGGGAGTTTCGAACCTTGGTAATTGAGATGGTAATGGCCACGGATATGTCCTGTCATTTCCAGCAAATCAAAGCCATGAAGACAGCCCTGCAGCAGCCAGAAGCGTGAGTAGCCTGTGACATCATCTCATAGGGCTTAGACTGAAAATTGCACATTTTATACAGTGAAAATGAGTCACCTTCAGGATAATGGACTGGTTAGCTTGGAAAGTAGTGATGTCTGGAGCAAGGAACTTGAGCATCATACAGTATCTCACAATTAGAGGTTTATCAGAATCAGAGTTGAAGAAAATACAAGGCATGCTATCAGTTTGGCCAAATTAGCAGTTAAATGATCAAAGGTCTGCTAAATGTACAGCTAACTTAAATATTGTTAGGATTTTTGTCACCTGGTTGAAAACTGCAGCCATTCTATTAATTGGTTAGATGAGAAATACCTTATTCAGTAAATGCTGAAATGTTTGTTCAACAACAACAACATGGTGGCAGTACTTAGAGGCCATTCATCCTTTCCTCAATTCAGCGACAACTGGGTTTTAAAGATTTTTGATACTTTAAAAATGTTTGAAGTGCATGGTCACTGTGTGCTTGCATGTGTTGGGTTTGCAGAATTGAGAAGCCAAAAGCCTTATCTCTGATGCTGCACACAGCAGACATCAGCCATCCTGCAAAAGCATGGGACCTGCACCACCGCTGGACCATGTCTCTCCTGGAGGAGTTCTTCAGACAGGTACCTTGTCTTTTGCTGCTCACCAGGGCTGGTGTTGGATATTTTGTGAATGTTTCAGCACCTCTCCATCAAGGACCACAGAGGATATAGTTAGTTTTTTGGAGAAGGGGGCTTTTCATAGTTGTTTTATTTCTGCATGTATAATGCTTGAATTTTACCTAAATTCTAATTGTCAGGGCATTGTGAAATGCATTGCATTCTGTCTCAGGCATTTCTGCTTAGAGGAAAAGGTGTTTCATTGTGGTGTTCTCTTGTCTAAGTATCATTTGAAGAGAGCCTTTTCTTTATTTCTTCTAACGAGTTACTAAAAAGGTTATTAAAGTTTTTTTCGTATTGCCCTGTGGGGCTATGCTGATAACCTTTGACTCATGTCTCTTGTTATTGAGTAGGTTGTTTCTTTTGATGGAGAAGCTATGACAGACACAATGTTCCAAAACTAAGATAAGGCAAGTTGGAGTCAAGAAATCACTTGGAATTATTCTTCAAGTGCATTTAAATTTAACTACACCTTCAATCCAGTGTCATATTATCTATAAGAACAGGTAGTCTTTAGTGAGTATGCATTCCTTTAAGACAAACACAAATATGTGAATTCATAACAGAAAGGAAACAAGTGCACATCACCAAGACCTTAAGGTTAGGGTTAGTTCTCCAGCCTTGTCACAGATGCTGGCCTCGCCTTGAAAAAAGCTGCCACATGGACACTGGCTTTGAGACATGAGACTCTGAGCTCAGGCAATGAAATGTAGATTACAGATCTCAGTTACTGTTAGTTCATATTAGCAAATGAAATCAGCTAATTCTTGTTCATTCAAAAAGGGATTTTGAGAACTCTAGCCCCCATAAAACAGCACTTAATATCACGTCTCACTATTATTCCCTCAAATGTCTAGGGGAGTTTCTCTGAGCTTTCATTCATTTTCGATTGCTATAATACCATACATGAGACAAGATAATTTTTTTGATTATTAAACTGTTGTTAAGTGGTCTTGGCTTACTGGAGAATACCTGGACCTGTTATGCCTTCTTTGGCTACATGGCATCTCCTCGTGGGGCCTCTCTGCCTACCTTTCCTAGAATTCTCCTTGTCTCCTAGTCCCGCCGAGACAAGATAATTTATAAAGGATAAAGATCTATTTTGGTCATGGCTTTGTAACCCAGAACTCTATTTTCCTGCCATTGGCATCTGGTAAATCTACTTGTTCGGGGCATCACAGGGCAAGTGTGCTAGCTCTGGTCTCTCTGCTTTAAAGTCACTGACACCTTCATGGGGTATCAGTGACCCACCCTCACCCTCACGATCTTATCTAATCCATGCTGTCTCCCAAAGGCTTCACTTCTAAATACTATTAACATATGACTTTGAGGAGTAAGTCTTCACCATCTTAGGTGTGGGGACACACTGGCACACTGGTTACTGTGGGTTTGGGCATGAAATTCTCCTGATGATCTTACTTTTATGATTATTGTTTGAATGAGGAAATAATTGCACAAGAATTTCTGTATTTTTTTCTTTCTAAAACTATGCACATTGTCTGGTAGTAACTGGGACTAGAGTTAACAGTTACAAAAGCCCAAGATGTCAATTAGTGCTTTATTCCAATTGCTTGGCAGCCAGGGACTAAACAAGTCACCCTTCTAATTCCCTTGTCTTTGTGTTGTCTGTGATTTTTTTTTGAGGGAACAGAAAAGATTTAGGGTAAGTTTAGTTGAATATTCTTAAGAACCTTTCATCATTGAATATCCTGTTTTCTCTTCAGTGTGTCCATGGGTGCCAGCCAGTCTACATATGCACACTCACCCTTACCCCAAGTTCATGTGTTCTGTCCTTATATGGGAAGGGTCATTTGCACATGCATTATGTGGTCTCCAGAGTAATTCCCAGGCTCCATGATGAGTAGAATGGAGTAAAGAGTAGGCATGGGAGGAGCTTGAGTGACACAGGTGTGACTCTAAGGTGTATATAAGGACAGCAGACTATAAATTTTTCCCTCATTAAGGGCTTACATTAAACAATTTTTAAATGACTGTTTTCCCAACAATAGTGTGGGACCTTTCTCTAAATACCCACCCCTCCTTTTTCATATGCTTCCTTTGAGGTAGTTTTATAAAAATACTTCCATCATGCTAGGAATATTCAGTCTGTGGCCAATGGACAGACCATGGCAAACTCATGTAAGTTTGATATATTGAAGTGATTCCTATTTTGAATTATGAGAGTGTGTGAATTATTTAATCATGTGAACATTGTTTCCTTATCGTAAAGGAAACTTTGTGTACACACTCAAATGGAATGAAAATATGCTAGGGCAATGTGGAAATAACCAAACTGAATTTCTTGGCCTCTCAGAACTGGTGTGTTAAATCGCTAGAACTGAACTGGTTTTAGTGAATGTAATTCAGTAAAGGGTTTCTATTGCCTTCACCCATATGCCAAAACAAAACAGGTAGCCCATGAAAGGAGTAATGGTACCCCAGCTCTTAGTGTTAGCTTTAAAATTGGACAGTCCCCATTGGGAAATCCCAATGAGTCCAGAGAAGCTTTTTAAAATTACTTTCAGAAAGTTGGACTATACTTCAAAATAACGAGATAGCTAATCCTTGGGAACACAGCCCAGGCATTCTTGATCTTCTGAAGAAGGGAGCTTCATCTTCATCTTCACAACCATGTTCCACAGAATCCAGGCCACAGCCATAAAGTGCTTTTAAATGTACCACAGACTTTGAAAATGTATGTCTGCCTTGGTAAATCCGTCTTGTTCTGAAAAGCTCTGAGATTCGTTTTCCTTTTTTCACTGTGTGTTTTAACATTTTGGAAACACCTTTCATAGTTCTCTACATCTCTTCTATGTCTGTGGCTGTTTCCTCATTTGTCTGTTTTATTTCATATGTATTGTTGAATTTTTCCCTCTCCCCTACAAGATTTTGTTATCATTTTAATGTTTCTTTCTTCTTCAGTGATGCTGTTTTCATCTTTATTCAATTCATTTACTTTTATTTTTCTAACTCTTTGAATTCAATGTTCATTTCATTTGCTTTCATTTTCATTTGTTTAGAAAACGGAAACTGAGCAGTGTTTGTTTGTTTCTGCTTCTGACACACTGTGCCCAAGGCACAGTGACTAGCAACTAGTCTTTAAATTTGATTTTTATTTTTCTTTTAACCAAGAGTTACCTTAAATGGAATATTTTTTCCAGCTTTTCTATATCCTTTAGTGATACGTTTCTTCACTTAATGGGTTCCAAATTACTTTCTTTTTATTGACCAAATAATTAGTTATTGTTTGGAGCTTAAATTAAATTTATGTATACATCACCTTTGTGAATGTCTGTGGATCATGGGAGACTTCTGTGTCTAATTCTCAGCATATATCTATATAATAGTTAATCTGCTACTGTGACAAATATCTGAGGCTATGAACTTGAAAGAGGGAAGGTTGATGTGGACTCAAGATTGCAGAGGCTTCAGTATGTAATTGGCTTGCTCCATTGTATTTAGGCCTGTGGCAAGACAGAAACATCATGGTATACTGTCAGGGAAAAAGAATACTGTTCCCCTACTGGTGACCAGCAAGACAAGTGAGTCAGAGAAGAAAGTTCTGAGGACATGTGATATACTCTTTAAAGATGAGCTTCTCATGACCCACTTCCTACAGGCCCATTCATCAGGACTGAGTCCATTGTAGCAGCTGGGGTGAAAGTTGTCAACATTTTATATTCAATCATAACAATTTGCCTTCTTTATTGTGTCAGGCAAATAACTCAGATTTTTGTATATAATTTTAAATATGTGAACTGCCATGGGCTGACATGTGTTTCTATTATTTTTTTCTCTCTGTGCACTAGACTTTTTGCTCCATAAACATTAATTCTGTGTCATTTAGTTCTTGGTTGTTTATAGCTATTAGGCAAACATAGTATGCAATAGCTCTGATCAATATAAAGACTCTTAAAAGTCCACCTCATGCTTTTGCTAGAATTCTTATCTGACTCCTTGGTGACAATACTGAGAAATAAGCATTCAGGTGTTGGAACATCCTTAGCTGCAGGCTACTGAGATTTCTGAGTGCTACTAATTTATTGGTAATGTTCATTACAATTTGAGTGTGCTAGCTGGAACAAATTCACTCTGTGTTTCTCAAAACTTGACTTCAAGTATGGCTGCCTCTATGGCAACAGTAATTCTTTTAGTAGTTCTTTTTATTTGCTTAAATATCTTTTTGTCATTTTGCCTCATGATAAGCCCTTTGGGTTTGAACTATTATCCTGCAGTTAACAGATGGAAAGTTGTGAAATAGCAAAGGATGGTTACTTTTCTAGGACCATACAGCAGAAAGGCAGGATTCCAACACAGATGTGTAGTCATTATGCTGAGTGAGTTTCTTCCTACAAGAAAAGGAAGAACACAGTCCACTGATAAGCACGAGCAGAGATATTCTTCTCCTTCCTGGACATGACAGAAAGATTGTTTTTTCATGTTTTCAGAAGTCATCTTCATTAACAGTTAGGTGTCCCATAGAGCTTGTGTTAAGGCGGTGCCATTGGGTACCATGGAGAATATTTTGTAGGAACACTAGTTATGCTGTATTGTTGTCTAATAACTGGTTCTTTCTAGTCCACTTTTCACTGTACATCAAGTATTAGGGCAGGAAACACAGAAGCACTTACTCCATTCATGTGTGGCTTTAGGAGACAAAGCCATGTCAGTCAGCTTGAATTTTGGACACTGCTCACCGCTGAGGGTTCAGTGGTTAGAAGAGGACCACAGGTAGCTGCAGGAAAACTGTGGGGAACACAGCAATTCTGACTGTGATGTTGGCTCTTGGCTACAGGACACATGGACTGCTGCCTGGTTTTCCATGGGGAACCTATTGCTGCCCAGTGAAGCTTTCTTAGGGACAGCATGAGACTTTGCATTCAGAAGGAATGCTTGCTCTCCAAAAGCCACCACTTCTTGGTGTCCTTTGTTTATAGGAGCAGGCCCCACCAGGACTTATTATATGATGTAATTGTAATAATTAAAATAAAGATAAGTGGCCTAAGTGGTAGCTGAGGTTGCTAAATAAAATCTGGGCCACTCAGCCCACTGTTCTTTTGTTTACTGTGACCTTCTGTTTTTCTAGGGTGACAGAGAAGCAGAGCTGGGGCTGCCATTTTCTCCTCTATGTGACAGAAAGTCAACCATGGTTGCTCAGTCACAAGTGGGTAGGTATTTGGCAGCTTCTTGGAAGGAGCATCATATGGCATATCTATAGCAGGTAGGGCTGCCATGCTCGGTGATCCCTGCTGGTTCTCTGGCTCACTGATGCCAGCCTTTGGCAGGCTGAAGTGGCATCATTCTCTCTGGACTGTGGCTGGTTCTGGGGTGGAAATTAGATGGTGGAACTTTGGGGTCTCCATCATTCCTGCCAAAAGGAAAGGGGTTTAACTTCCCAAGGAAATGGCCATATATACTGTAGTTAGGGAACCCATTTTGCTTCAGTGTCCCTATTATTCAATACTAGAAGTTATCTTACTGACCACCTTCTTCTTCTTCTTCTTCTTCTTTTTCTTCTTCTTCTTCTTCTTCTTCTTCTTCTTCTTCTTCTTCTTCTTCTTCTTCTTCTTCTTCTTCTTCTCTTCCTCCTCCTCCTCCTCCTCCTCCTCCTCCTCCTCCTCCTTCTTCTTAAGATAGGGTTTCTCTGTGTATCCTTGGCTTTCCTAGAACTTGCTCTGTAGACCAGACTGGCCTTGAACTCAGAGATCAGCCTGCTTCTGCTTCCTGGGTGCTGGGATTAGAGAGGGCCACCACCACTTAGCCATCTCTTCTTCTTCTTGATGCTTCTTCTGTCCAAGTTAGGACATTCCTCCTCTTTTAAATTGTTCTGGTTTCCTCACTCCTTTTCTTCAGCACACACACAAAATAAGAATTACCATAATACATGCATAACAAAAACCCTCAGCTGTGGGAGAAACAGTCACCCATCACGCATAAAATAAATGTCATGAGGCTGTGATCACTCAAAAATCAATTTAATAAGGGATTGCTGCCTTTTCTACTTGTCCACTTTGGGAGCAGAGATAGGGTCTCCTGAAATGCAGGCTGGGTATAAACCGGCCATTTAGCTAAAGCTAAGCTTGAGCTCAGGCTGGCCATGAGCTGTATAGCCTCCTGACTTCTTGCCTTTGACTCCCAGGTGCTAAGATTGAGAATGTGTGCCATCTGCTTGAGCTTTATGTGATCATTCATTGTTTTATTTGTTTCATCATGATGTATCTTGGGTTCCTGTTGGGTACTGGGCACTGCTAGGAATTATAATAGAGGCTATAAAGTCAAACACTAACTCTACATAGTACCTGCTTTTAAAGATATTATTAAACCAGTATTAGATAGTGGGTAAGATGTTAGAAAAACAAAGAATGCTAGAACATTATGCATGTTAAAAGTAGAATTACTAACATTTTACAATGGAATATATAGACAGCATTAGAACCATTAGACTCAGTAGTTCACACAGACATATTTTTTGGGGGGGCGGGGTTTCGAGACAGGGTTTCTCTGTGTAGCTTTGGAGCCTATCCTGGCACTCACTCTGGAGACCAGGCTGTCCACACAGACATATTAAGGTGTGATATTTGAGCTATATCTGACGAAGTATTCAAATAGTGGCTAGGCATGTAGTGATAGATAGTGGTATATGTTAGCAATTGCTTAGGGGTGGATAAAATGACACCACAGACAGGAGATAGAGAAAGCAGAGAGATTAAAAACTGCTTAATATGGTAGTGAATTCTCAATAGCTCCAATATGACAGGAACAGTAGATAGGAAGTAGGATACAGTGAGAAAGAAAATCAGGCCAGGATTTTACATTGTGCCAAGAATAGCACACATACTTACAAGTTCCTGTAGGAAATGGGAGCTGGTAAAAAGAATTCTGTGTATCATCAAATACAGTTTGAGCTCAAAACTAAATTGTGTTGAACTGCAAACAAATTTCATTGCCAGTGTTTCCTTATCAGGTAGCCTGTTCTTATTTTGTGGGTCACACTATACGATGTTTAGCATTCTTCTCTGCTGAGTCTCAACACCAGTATCACTATCCCCTTAAAAACTATGAAAACTAAATATTCGTCCCTGCATTTCCAGATACCCACTCAGAGGAATGGGAAGTGACTTCCTTAGTGGAAGTCACTTAGTGTCTCCTTCCTTATGTGTGACTATGGATGACTTACTCCAGTCTCTGTTAGTGCAAGTGTGTGTGCTATTTTCACTCCATGTGTCACAAATACTCATCTAGTTTTCTTTCTTTCTCTCTTGTTGTGGTTGTTATTTGTCTGTTTTCTTTTATTCTTTTTTTCTGTTTGAGTTAAGACAATCACTCTAAGGCAGTCTTTGCTACCTCTCCATCTTAAGAGGTGTCACTGCTGTAATGACCTCAAAGCAGTTTCCAGTCCTTTCTTCTGACTCTTCCCCTGTGGCTCTGCCTCCTGTATCTCAGGTCAGCAGCTTGCAGCCCATCTTCTGTCTTCTTTCATTTCTTCTGTGTAGTTGCTGGAGCCTCCCGTAAGGTTCCCTCTAGAGCAAAGCCGCCTCCTCTACTTTGCTTTGTGTACCTTTGGGGTCCAGTGTACAACAGTTCTGGTTCTCCATTTCTTACCTTCTGTTTGAGCCATACCAAAGCTCCTAACACGATGTTCCCACCCTCTGTCTTTCCTCCTCACTGCCTTTCCATGTCTCTTGCTTCGTGGACTGTATCAAAGCTCATATATCATCACAAAGCTGCCTAGATATCATCAGGCCAGCCCAGAGCTTCTCTGATTCTAACTCTGATTCTAAACCCCAGGAGCTTCCTTCCTTGAGCTCTGGATAACTAGCCTCCCCAAAAATTTTTTTCCAAGTTCAAAGCAGTCCCCACACCCCAGTCATTTTGCAGACACATCCTGCATACTTTTCCACCTCTAAAAGTCCCTCTACCCAGCGTGAATAGTGACATTGTTCTTGCCACCCATCCTTGAGAGCTCAGCTCCAACACACAACTTCCACACAACTGCTCACTGGTCTCTATAGGAGCAAAAGCATCTCCTCTCCATTCTCTTTTATTTCTTTCCCAGGAGCCTTCATCTGGGCTTCTCCTTTGGCCCTGCAGAAACTCTAGGGGTTATTTTTGTGCCCGTTAAATCTTACCTATAAATTCCTTGAGAGCTGCTGGGTTGCATTATTCATCTTTAGCCTTTTACAAAACGCATCACAGTGCTTGTTACATAGCAGGTGTTAAATTGTGTTTTTAAGCATTCAGTTGAATCACTTATTAAGAAGCCCTAAGGAAATTATATAGGGGAAATGAAACTGATTCATGACATTCAAAAAGAATGAGAGCAACTGGCTCTTGGCAGATTTGGAGCTCCCATGTAGATGTGATGTTTTGTTTGTTTGGTTGGTTACGGAAAGACTAATTGGTTTCTAGTGGAAAACCTGGGCGGGTCCCTGTTAGCATACTGTTATCTGAGCCACTGCTGCTTCCCTGTAGGTTTTATTGACTTCATTGTGGAGCCCACCTTCACTGTGCTCACGGATATGACTGAAAAAATTGTGAGTCCATTAATCGATGAAACATCCCAGACTGGTGGGACAGGCCAGAGGCGCTCAAGGTCAGTGGGGAAGTCGGAAAGGTGCGTGGGGAGGGAGACTCTAGTGTCAGGAGATGTGTGGCACCACAATGAGCTGGACTGTCCACTTCTTACAGGAGATGTGTCTGTCTCGTTTCCTTAAAAGGATTTGCAATGATATTATCTGTGCTTTCTAGGCTGACCCAAGGGCAGAGCGGGATGGCCCCACTCTCTGAAGCCTTTGTTGCCAGCAGCACTGACCACAACACTCCTCCTGCAGTACACAGAAGCCCTTGTTCCTCATTCTGCAGATGGCCATGCTTTTGATCAGAGTTCTTACAAGAAATGAAGCTGATTTTCATTTCTATTCAGGAAGAAAGTGGAGTACAGATTTTAAATATATATATTTAAAACACCTCAAACTTCAGTGTTTTCTAGTACCCTGGATCACGGCATAATGCTTAAATATATCAAATGTAGAATAGTAAAAGTCCAGACTCTCCAGCCAGAGTTCAGGCTTAACATCCTGACTCTTATTAACCTGTGTAGTCTCATATAAGTCAGCTCACTGTCCTAGTTTCCTTTCCTAAGGCTATGATAGAAGCATGGACAAAAGCAACTGGAAGGGAGAGTTTATTCGGCTTACAATTCCTGGCTATAGTCTTTCATTGTGGGGAAGCCAAGGCAGGAACTTGAAGCCACTAGACACACCCATACTCAAGAGCAAAAAGAATCAGTTCATGTGTATTTACACCCAGTTCACTTTTTCCTCTTTTGTACAGTCCAGGACCCAAACACATGGAAATCCCACACTGGTCTTGGTCTTCCCACAACAATTAATATAACCAAGATAGATAATCGCCCACCAGTATTCAGACTGATAAACTTGATGTAGGTAATCACACACTGAGAATTTTCCCAGCTGATTATAGATAAGCAATTAAACTCACCTCACATTCAGGTTATTCATTTGAGAAAATAAGGTCATAGTACTCATAGGTTAATTGAATTATTCAGTGTTTATAAGATATTGGAAGGCCTGCCGTGGTAGAAGTGCAGGCCACAGTAAAGCTGGCGTTGAATCTTCATTGGCATTGCTGATTCTGCTACTCCAACTGCTGCTACCTCTGCTCTTGCCACCACCATTACTTTAGCATGGCCATCACCACTACCACCACCACCAACAACAACACCACCATCACCTCCACCACCATCACCACCAACAACCGCATTACTGTCACCACCACCACCACTTCACCATTCCTAACATGACCAGCAGCTATTGCTAACCCCATTGTAATGATCCCTTACCTCTGCATCTTTGTAAACTTTGAGCTTTGCTATAAAGGATGTTGGTAGAATTGGTTATTAAATATGAGAAGAAATGAGCAGAGAAATAAGTAAATAGGGAGAAAGTAAAGAAAGAGGAATTCAAAGTTGCTTAAGATGAATGACCCCTCACTGAAGATGCTAAAAAATAAGCAAGGACAGAACCCTTGATAAGTCTACATACCTTCTTAGCCCTTTGGGTACTGGCTAAAATGAACTCTAGTAATGCTTCATTATCATTTAGTGGATCTGACTTAGGATGGTGGTAAATGGTATAGCTACTTAGAAATTTCAGCAGAAATTGGCAATGTATCCTGTGTTTAAAGCACAAAGTAGAATTCATTTAAAATTATATCTTTGGCATGGTTTGGTTATCTAGCATCCCTAAGAAGCACAAGGAAATCATTGCTTTTTCTGAGCTTGGGGAACCCAGACTAGAGGAAATCTAAAGGTCAGTAAAAATGGCTCAGTAGGTAAAGATACTTGTTATCAAGCCTTATGACCCAAGTTTGATCCACAGGAACCACATGATCATAGAAATAAACACTTCCTGGGTATTTTCCTCTAGCTTCCACATGTGTGCCCTGGCATGTGCATATAAATAAATAAGTAAATAAATAACGTATAATAATCATAAAATTAGCATTATCTTGAAGATGTTAGAGCTGGAGAAAAGGGACCAGCTTGCTGAGTAACTTGGAAAGATGATCAGTGTGGTAGCAGGTAGATGCCTTGTGAAGTAAATGAAACTCTAAGTTTAAGTTTGTTCATTAAAAAAAACAGAGCAAAACAAATAAATGAAGGAGATTGCAGTTACCAGAGAGAGAGAGAGAGAGAGAGAGAGAGAGAGAGAGAGAGAGAGAGAGAATATGCCCAATCAGCATAGAAGGAGGTAAAAAATACTGTGGCACATAAAGATGCAGTGTTTGTAGACTTTTTCTGCTAAATCTTTGAATTTCCTACCTGCATCTCCACAATGCCCAGGGCCTGAGGTTATCATGATGGCAACTGAGCCAATACTACCTAGCATTTGGTGGGCTTTCTCAGTGTCCACGACTAACACTCATTTTCCGTATGATTTCTTTTGTTCTCCAGTTTGAACAACATCAGTGCCTCAGATGCAAAGCGACCAGGTGTCAAGAGTTCTGGGTCAGAAGGAAGCGCTCCCATCAACAATTCTGTCATCCCTGTTGACTATAAGAGTTTTAAAGCCACCTGGACTGAGGTGGTGCACGTCAATCGGGAGCGGTGGCGGGCCAAGGTGCCCAAAGGTAATGTGCTCTTCAGAAAGAACCTTTTAGAATTATCCAGGCATACTCAGTGCCCGCTTGCAAAGCAAGTGGCTGCCTTCTGTGATTTACAGGCCTTTCAAGTAAAGCACATTGCTCCAGGGCCTGGAGGTTTTGAATGCAGGGTAGTACCATCTGCCAAGTCTCATTCTGTCCAGCACTGAATGCATGGTAGAATGTTCTAGACCTCCAAGCCTCTCCACCTCATGGCTTTGTGTGACACAGCTAAAACTCTTTCCGGTGTGGAGTTCTACGGGCCTGGGATTAGCGTTTCCCGGTCTTTCTAGATTACCAAGTGCTGTACTTCTTGTTAGCAGCCACGACTGTAAAGCCTTTCTGCCCTCATTTTCCTAGGTAAAGCCCCAGCAACAGCTGTCTGCCTTTTGTGTTGGGGTATGAGGAACTTTAATTTCCTTCCAAGAACTTTAAACATCCTGTACTATTCAGGGGTGTCCTCGACTCATTGATCCAACCATGGATCTGATATTGTTTGTTTGTTTGTTTTTGAGGTGATAATAACTTGTAAGCAAACTGCAATTTCCTGAAGCAAAGCTCATCCAGGTTCAGACCAGAAAAGCTGTGACTCCAGCTATTATGTACAGAAATATATGAAAGTCCATGCTTCTTGGAGCTTAATTCCTATCTCATGTTTTCTGGCTTTACTGATCATGATTGGCACACATATGACATGATCACACTGTTTAGGTGGAGAGGGACACCCACTCAGCGAGCATATGAATCTGTGATGCCAGATCTCAGGGAGAGCAGAATACCAGATGTGAAATGGCTCTTGACACTCAGATAGGACTGATTGCTTCAGGCTTTGCAGAGGTGAACCCTCAGCAGCACTCAGTGTCTGCTGGCACCTGTTGCATGCCATCTATTTTCTACACTCCATGCCCAGTGCCAAGGGGTGGTATGGATATCCCTATACTCTGGGTTCATAGGAAGGGGCTCTTATGTTAGACCCATGGTTCTCAACCTGTGAGTCATAACCCTTTTGAGGGTCAAACAACCCTTTCACGGGGTTGCGTATCACATATTCTGCATTAGACATTTACATTATGATTCATAAAAGTGACAAAATTATAGTTGTGATGTAGTCACAAAGTAATTTTATGGCTTGGGGGTCACTACACCAGGAGGAACTGTATTAAGGGTCACAGCATTAGGAAGGTTTAGGCCTAGTCCTCATTACCCCCTAAAGTCCACATTTAAATTCAGGGATTGGTGTTTCAGTGCATGAAAGCTAGGGAACAACTCTAAGTCCTAGAAGGAAGTTCTGCAACCCCCACTCCAGGTGGGGAGGAGCACCCTGCAGCTAGGTTGTTTCAAAGGCCAGGCACTGAGTTTTCAGCAAAATACTGCAAAAACCATTGCAGGTAAGGCAATGGTTTAGATTTATGGTGTTCTTGGGGCACAATTGAAACATTATCATTTGGGGACAGATGTTGCACCCTAAGCTATGGAGGGCTCCAACAGCTGCTCTATATTTTAATTGTAAGCACTCAGGGTCCATTCAAATGCATCAAGCATTTAAATCCTCCATGTTGGCAGGCTATTGCACCATCAGAAGAACACTGTCGAATGATCATTACACTTGAACATCCAATTTCTGACAAAACACATTTTAAAGAGGTCATTCAAAACCATTTGTTTGCAATTATCTTTGTTACCAAAATTACCTTCTGAACTAATCACCTGGGGAAACGTTAGATGGCTTCTTTTCCAAGGAATAACTGGTCCTTTCAAGAGGACAGATAAACACCTCATCAATTTAAAATGCACTAGCTTTGAAGCTAGAGATAAGGAAACTATTTTAAGCACCATGAAAGGACTCATCTCTAACCATGACTGGGGCCTTTGGGAAGGCATCCAGTAGGTAGAATCTGTAGGATGCTGGGATGTGCCTGGCAGTGTTAGAAATAGGAGCAGGATGGGCAGAGGGGATAGCCCATGTGGTAGCACACTTGTGAAAGAAGCCTGCATGGTGGTTTCTATTTGTAATCTCAGGAATGGGGAAGCAGAGACAGGCTTCTCACTTGAGCTCACTCCCTAGCCAGCCTATCCCACATAAAGAGCTGTGGGTCAGTGAAAGACCCTGTCTTGGGGGTGAAAAGGGTGGATAGCACTTGAGGAACACACACATACATACAATTACACACAAATGCATAAACATACACACAAAAGAAAGAAGACAATGTGCACACTGAAGCAAAAGGAACAAGGTACGGCCCTTGGGTTACATGTATTTAGACTCACATAGCTTAGTTATGGAGGACACATTTAGTTATGAAGGAAATGAGACTCTGTCCTGAGCATGGTCCTTTACATTTCAGTAAGAACTGAACAACATATGGAGAGCACTGGGAACAGAGCTGGCCCGGGTGGAGCTTGGCAAGAGGGAGCTGCTGTTTAAACACAGTGGAGAGGGAGGTTGACCCTGTGTAGCAGGGGTAAAACACTGGCTGTTAAGGTGTCAACTCAACACAGCTCATACTTTCAGTCTCGAGTTGTGCTGTTCATGGATGGACTGATGTGAAGGAGAAATCTGGCTTGTGGTTTCATTGGTTTGAGTAAGTGATCCCAGACTATTTTTCTCATTTTTTAATCTCAAAGAACTCTAATTTTGAAAAAAGCTGCCTTCTACAGGCATTTGAACACATATTGTTAGGAAATAAGAAAAATTTAGTTTATGCTATCCAATTTGATTTACAAAGTTCTGTAGAATCCATGTTGGTTAGGAAAAACTTAATCAATACTTTGTATAGTTTCCTGGGTCAAGCATCATTTCCACCCTAAAATTTAAGGATGTAACAATTAATAAATAGGATCTATATTTATTAATTTCTACCCAGGACTTAATACTTTTTACATATTTATTTCCTGCTAATGTAATAATGTGTGTAGATCACAAATGCTGAACTATTTAAAATATGTAAGACGAAGAGAATAAAATTCTACCCTACCTAGATGTCAATAACTCTTGCTCATGCTCAGAGTCAATCTAGCTTTGCTGAGCTGTGTATACAGATAGTAAACTTAACCCTACAAATCAGTTTTATAATGCAATGCCGCATACATTCTACTCTTATTTCCCATCTACACCATTTTTCCCCTGGTCCTGAATATTCTGATATAATGTCTAGGACACAATCATTGAGATATTCCTTCATTATTGAATGTTAGGGTTCCAGGTCATTGCTGCATATAATAAAATTATAAACATGAAAGCTCAAAAGACTGTATGGGATTCTTCTGACAACAGAGATAAGAACTATAAATTTTTTGATGCCAAATTCCTTTCTGGCCTTTTTTGTTTTGTTTTAACAAATTTTCTCTCTCAGATGCAGTATCAGTGAAACTGCCCATTTTTCTTTACTATCATTTCCCATTAGGATATTCATATTCTATTGTTGAATCATACTAATTTATTACATATTAAGGATAATATTTTTAGTTGTCAAAGTACCCTGAAGTTTTTACCCAGCCCTAGTCTGTCATGTGCCACTGTCTTTGCTGAGTCTCTAGTTATACCACCTACACTACTCTCTCAAAAACTTCTCTAAGTTTCTTTACTGAACAGTGAGTCTCAATAAACATAACAACATATTTCATATGATATATAGTGAAAATCGCTGCACTTGTTGAGAAATTCATTTTTGTTTGCTTATCAGCACTCAGTTTTGTTGAATACTATGAAGTTCTCAGCCTAGTGATTAGAACAGTGATGTTTCCCATTCAGCTCAACTTTACACATTATTTTTTTAAATTTTTTGACTTATTTTTGTACATGAGTGTTTTGCCTGTGTATATGTATTTGTACCACGTGTGTTTCTGGTGCCCTCAAAGGTCAGAAGAGAGAATCAGGTTCCCTGGACTGGAGTTAGGGATGGTTGTAGACCAGCATGTGGTCCTCTACGAGAGCAACAGGTACTTTTAACCACTGAGCCAACTCTCCAGCCTAGCACATTATTTCTAAATAAGTGCCTCAGTTTTTATCTTTAGCATTTATTTCTATTTTAACAATAAGCTTTGCAATTTCATTATGAATCATTGACATATTTTCCTCAACTTTTGATTTTTGAAATTGATTGGCATTTTCTATCAGCTAGTGTACATAGGATGCTGCTATAAGAAAAGAACACCTTCTGAGCTCTTGGGTGCCCTCAATGCCCTTGTTTTTCTCTATGGAGCATAAGTGGGTGTATGTATGTATGTATGTATGTATGTATGTATGTATGTATGTATGTGTGTGTCAGTTAGATTCCTATCTGTTGTCTCATGTTCATATTCTCATCTACTCCCCCCCATCTCTCTTTCTTTCCTATTTAAGCCAGCAGTTCAGAGTAGTTCCAAGGATAAGTAGCCCAGTGACATTTCCATTATGGAATCTCCACGGTCATTACTTACAGAGGAAATTGAATAAAGACTCCAGTGCATTTTTGAGACTGCATAGGCATCCAGTGTGAGCGGCCCCATGTCTTGTGTGAGAAGTGTGATTTTCAAATCCCAAGGACTCTGTCACATCGTAACCCTTCAGCTGATTTCCATTGCTTTTTCTTGATGAGTCACATCAACTTAAGATAGGTTGAAAAAGGAGCAAAAGAAAAGAGACCATAAAGTTTACAGCCTACAGGTCAGGAAGCCTTGGGATGCCAAGAAGTCTAGATCTAAGACTTGATAAATAACTTGTTTGTATCCATGATCTACTGAAACATGTAGATCCATGCAGATTGGCATGCTCTCACTGACTTGTTCTCATTGTTGAGTGATGGTATCTATACCAATAAAGTTACCCTAAGAATATAAAGGAATCTGATTGCAGTGGGAGAGAAATCAACCTTGAGTACATGTGTGTGAGTTTAGTCTTGTATGTGTTGGTTGTTGTCTCTTTGTCTTGAGTAGTATTTCTTTGTATACTCTGTGGCTGATGACACTCACACAAGACAGAGGCAGGAGGTGAATAGACAAGCCAAAGAGCATTGTGAGGCCATTTCTAGAATTTACTAGAAGGTTGTTGCAAAGAAGGGATTCATACTGTGGGCCAGGCTCCTATCTGATTTGATCATGTTGTAATAAGAGCTATTGTTTGCTCATTGGAAATAACTTTTCCATGTCAGTTACACTTAAGCAAAAGCAGATTGGCCTTGGAAATGTTCTCTCCCCTTCTTCTTGGTTGTTTTTCTACATCTCCCATGAAAAATTGGTCTGACTCAGTTGTCAAATGAGTTTTTCTTTCTAAGATAACATTGTATGGTCTTCCATAGTAAAGTACAATTTAATAGCTTCAGATTTTATTTAAATGATTTTCAACTTGGAGATATTTTGAGTGTTGGAAGTTTGCCATATTCTCAATAATGACTCTGTGAAGGTGGCCATAGCTAATCTTCTCTGATAGTGCGTTCTAACTATGAATGACTCTGTCTCTCTTGCTTCTGTTGCCTTTTATATAATGAAAACAGTCAGTTTTTTTAAAAATATAGCAAAATGTAATATGATAAAACAAAAGCTATCACATTGGGGCTAGACAAGACAAACAAAGAGAAGGTGCAAATACCAGTAACTCACTTGTTGTCATGTTCAGGAATCCCATAAAAACACTAAACCAGAAGCCGTTATATATATGCAGAGGACTTGGAGCAGACCTGTGCATGCCCTGAGCATGCTGCCTCAGCCTCTATGAGTTTGTATGTGCATTAATCATGTTGATTTAGAAGGCCTTCTTTCCTTGGTGTCCTCCATCCTCTCTGGCTCTTATACTCTTTCTGGGTCTTCTCCTGTTGGCTTCCCTGAGCCCAAGGAGATGAATTTGATAGAGGCATCCTATTTAGAGCTGAGTGTTCCAAGGTCTCTCACTCTCTGCATATTATCTGGCTGTGGCTCTCTGTATTTGTTCACTGCTACAGGAAGAAGCTTTTTTGATGATGACTGAGCAAGGCACTGATCTATGAGTATGACAGGGCAAAAAGTCATCTTTTTTCCTTACACATATTGTAAGTTAAGGAAACTAATGTTTGTTGAATACTATTTTCAGAATAGGACCAGAGAGTCTGTATACTTTGGTGTTGTATCAATCTAAGGTGCTAGGTTACAGTGATAGTTAATCATATGAAATGGCAGCATCTCATGGCTTCATCAAAACCTTCAGGAGCCCATGACATGTAATACGCACTATGCCAACCAGTGATGAGAGTGACATTTGCCCTATCCTCAAAACACCTAAGGATATAAGGAAGCCTGAATGAATGCCCTAGAAAACCCCCAAGCTTGGTAATCTACTGGGAAGGTCAACCCATCATCTTTTTAATGGACATTCTTCCACTTTTTAGTTGTGAAAGTCAGAAGTTGTATTGTGCTAGTTTTGGATATGATAGTTATTTGTAAAGAAATATTTTATAGCCTTTCATTGTAGATCTTAAATACAACTTGTTGAGAAGAATGTCATAACACACTGAATGGCTAATACTTAGACATTACATCAGAGCTTCTCAGTACTTGGTGTGTGCCAAAATTACCCAGGAAACATTTGAAATACCCTATCCTGTCCCTGTTCTTTTAGGCTCTGATTAAAATTGCTTGAGATGAGGCTGGGTCATTGATTTGGATGAGAAATCAATGAGTTATCAGATGGATAGATTGCTGGATCAATGAAATGATGACTAAAAAATGTCATGCTGTATTAAAGAAGACACATGGGATAAAGAAACATGAGAGTCTGAAAAGCAAAAGCGAACTTAGGCATCATGAACATCCACAAAATGCGTGTCCTAGAGCTGTGTGAACCCATCAGACTGGGCCAGAACGGGACTTGGGATGTGTTAGCACAAAAGTAAATATCAGATGCACAGGCTCTCTGGTGTCCATTAGATTAAAGCAATCATACTGTATGAAAACAGCTCAAAGACCAACACTAACCCAAGGGGAAGACATGGGGTCCCTGGTAATGAGAGGTGAGGATTTTTTTTTTCACTCATCTAGAGAAAAATGTAATAATGCTTTTTATAGAGGAGGCTGATGATATCAGGGGTGTATTTAGAGTGAGCTATGCAGGGTGAATCCCTGGAACATACAGGGGATCTCGCATGTAAGGGGCCTTTCATACATGTTGCTCTCTACAGAACAGACCTGCTATTTGCCCACCAGCCTCCATGATCTGATCTGTGCCTGCTCTTGGTCAATTGAGCATTTTATCTATGACTGGCTCCTTGCCAAATCTCCTTTGGGCCAGTTCAATATCCACAAACGATTTTCTAGTCAGATTCTCATCACTCAGGACTTGGTGAAATTCTATCTTCTCAATGAAGTCCTCTCCACCCCTCTGTTTCAAGTCACCTCTTGCCTTGTGCTGACTATGTCCATCCTGTCCTGTCTCTTTGTATTCAATTTTTGCAATATGTTTTCCACATTCAAAATTATCTAAGCCATTTGTTTACTTAATTATAATATTCTCCATGGTTTTGTCATGCTGGCTGTCATATCCTCAGTATCTAAAATTATTCTTGACAATATTGCTGCTCAATAAGTACCAGATAAATGAATGAAGCAGTGTTTCCATAAATATTGGATTATACACTTATATTGTATTTTCATTAAGCACAGAGTCAATCAACTGCATTAGAAATAATATGGATACTCAGTAAAAAGGAGAACCCAGAGCAGGCCCCTGGCCAAACTGAACGCTTTCCCTCATCCTGAGGACAGTCAAGTACCTTGGGATTTGGGGCTTGCATTTAGTTTTATGAGGCTTCACCCACCTCTTCCTAGTTTTAAATTCACAAACTCTGGCTTGAGTTTGTAGTCTTCTACTGATGGTTATTTTCCCCAACTTTTTGTTCCATAGTCAGTTGTTAATGTTTAGGCTGTGAGTTCTAAGCAAACTTCATAGAATGCCATATTATTGTTATTATTATTATTATTATTATTATTATTATTATTATTGTGGTTGGGGGAAATGTGATCGTGACTCTCAGCCTCGATCAGAGAATAGCTTTAGGGATAATCAGAGACAACCTTGGGAGACTGCTGAGCATAGTACCTGGCATGAGGATGCATTAGCCAGAAGTTATCAGCAGTGTACATGTCATCTCTGTTACATTGCCATTACTATTTTCTGCAGCTCCACCCTCTAACACAGATGTGATCCATCTTATTGATATCCTAAAATATGCATGTCCATCTCTCTTGAATTAATCAAGAATATATCCAAAGCTCTCAATAGGCCACTTAGGTCATTTTAGTGTCCTAGCTCCCATGAGCATCACTGTAGATGATTATTTTCCCAAAAAGGCCATTTTCCTGATGGTAGACCTCTCTTTCTCTTTCCTCATTGCTGTGGATGTAGAAGAGAAAGCCAAGAAGGAAGCTGAAGAGAAGGCTCGCCTGGCTGCTGAGGAAAAGCAAAAGGAAATGGAAGCCCAAGACCAAACTGAACAAGGCAAAGCTGAGAAAAAGACATCTGGAGAAACGAAAGGCCAAGTCAATGGAGCGCGTACAAACAAGGGGAAGAGCCCCAAAGGTGACAAGGCCGGAGAGAAACAGCAGAATGGTGAGAAAGGGCTGCCTGGGAAGGGCTCTCTTTGGGGTGATAATGATGTGACAAACAGAAACTGGTAATACCCTCCCTTTGCTGGCAGCTTGCATGGCTCCATGTTTCTCCAGAGATCCAGTCAGGACCCATCCTATGGCTACCAGTTTAGTTCTGTCTTTCTCTTTGGCATGGTTCACACCTCTCTGGCCCTTTCCTGATACCCTGAAGACTCTCACAAGTCACGCAGATTCCTATAATTAAGGATAGCACAGCCTGGATTTCTAAGTTCCAAAATGAGTAGAGAAAAGTCAGCCTCCGAAATAAATATTCCATCCTTTAACCAGGCCAGGCTCCAGTCTGCCCTCATTTTCAGACAACTGATGGGTTCTTGTATTTTATGCTATAAACATTTATTAACAATTTTCTGTCAAACTCTGTATTAGATCTGGGGGATTTAGGAATGGAAAGGATAGGGGAGGCCTGTGATGCTGTGTAGATATAGACACCCTCACATATAATTGTGACAGAATGTGTCCATGATGCAGAGATGAGGGAGGGTAGAGTAGCAGATAAAATCCCCAAGAGTCCTGCCCAAAGGAAGAGATTGCTGTTGGTGGTTGAGGTATTGAGATAAGGAAAGTATCTCAGATGTCTTCAGAAGGAGATGGTTTCTGGTTTTCCAGTCTTTGGGTCAGGTGGGGGAGAGGCTTTTCAGCTAGAGAGGTTAAAGTATGGGTCAAGGCATGGAACCAGATCCCCTGTTTACAGATGGACTGGAAGGAAGCTCTGTCCCTGCAGCTTGCAAATGCCGGGCTCCAAATAACAGGATACCTTTGCAAACAAATTTCAGATTCAAGTTACAATCCTGTTGCTTCTCTCTTCTTGGAGACCTTAGAATATATAACCTTTCCATCTCTGTGTAAAATACATATAGAACCTGTTCAGAGCCCCAGCCTCATGTAAGAGTTCAGTAATAATCATGGTAGTCCAGCCAGCAAGAGACTCTGCCTCAAAATATAAGGTTGATGGTGCTTGAGGAACACCCAAGTCTGAGTTCTAACCTCCATAGGTGTACATACATGTTCACACAGGTATATACATAAATTCTAACATTGTAGACATAGTTCCATGTTACAGATGGGAAAAATGAAACTCAGAAATTAGAAGACTTAATCGGTCATTAAATAGAAATGCTTGGCTTTGGGGTATCCCCATTCTGTGTTCTATAGCCAGCTCTTGCTTACTGTCTGCCAAGCCCAGTACTGCTATGAAGAGGTGGGGATCAGAGGAAGGCCAAGCCCTGCCTGCTGTGCAGAAGACAGGGTGGTACACACTTTCTGTAATGGGCCAGAAGCTAAATCCCTTTGACTTTCAAGCCATGTACTTTCTGTCACAGCTATTCAACATAGGCCTCAGCTAAGAACAGTTCTGAACATATAAGTGAGGTTGTAGTCAAGTAGGACTTTACCCTTGGACATTAGAATTTGAATGCAATCTAATATGCATGTCACATGCTCATTTTAATCAACTCTGTGTAGGTATAAAAGTCATTCTTAGTGTGTGGATCATACAAAACCAGGCAGTGGGGTCATGAGGCCTAGTTTTCCAGCCCTTGGTGTAGTTGTTGAGAGGAACCAATGAATAGCAACACCTAACATACACACAGAAACACCCACACATAAAACACAGACACACACACACACACACACACACACACACACACACACACACACACACACACAGACAACAAATTTTCAGTTCTACAAAGTCTTGGAGAACAGGGGAGACATTAATTAATTAATGTTTATTATTTGAGGGTAGAACTTTAAAGACACAAATCAGTAGCCTAACTCTTGAATCAGGCCAGGTTGGTGTCACAACCATGTTGTAAGTGGGTGACAATCTACCATTTTCCTTCAAAATTACATTTGGAGTAAAGAGTAGGGAAAAAAACCAATTTAGAACAATAATAAGAATGGCTGGGGGTAGTTGGGGACTTGGTTGCAGCAACCTAATTAAGATGATTTAGAGCTGCCCAGAAGGAGCCTTCATCCTGTTGATTGAGCATCCGCTGACATCTGCTACTGTTCCATGTAAAGCCCAGGGGAAGTCACCTAAAGGGTCCTGTTCCATGCCTATTCTAGCAAAAAGGCATATGTCACTTTCTCAGCACACTTCTGTGTGGACCACAAAGGTTGTTTTCTAGGTTAGAGTAGAAGGATATTTGCTAGAGATCTCCTATGCTGAGTAAAGGGTCCTCTAAGCCTTGGTTTCCACCAAGCTAACTTCTCTGTGAGCCTCCTCAGCTCAGCTAAGAGCACAGGCTATGTGCTGTTTGCCCTCAGCCTACACACACTTCTGCTGCAGAGATAGCTAAAGCTCTGTCTCAGAGTGACTTGGCCACCCCAACAGAGTAATAAGAATTGTGAAAGTTCATGGGAGGAAGATGATGGACTGTAGAAAACTGCCAGTCATTACTTTGACCACGGAACATGAGGTGTTCAGTCCATGACTAACATCTTAAATAGGGAAAGCTGGATGGTTTCACAGCAATTCCAAAGGAATTCAGAGGATATGAATCATGTCCTCCAACCTAAGCCAACCCTGAACAGACCCTCATCATCCTTTCTTAATCCTTCCAGTCAATCTGTTCATCCCATTTCAGAACTAAGAGTTAAAGCAAGCCCTATGAGTTAGTTGATTTCTAGTGTAACCAGACTTGTCAAAAAAAATGTATATACATACATACATATATATATATATATATATATATATTATATATAACAGTCAAAAATAGCCTCAAATTATCCTACTATTACTATATATAACAGTCCAAAATAGCCTCAAATTATCCTACTATTACCATTTCCTCCTGGGTCTATAAGCAAAAGGCCTTTAAAATGAAAACAGCACCAGAGAGCCTGAAATCTAAATAGTCGGTCTCATAGGAAGGCTGCAATAGTGGAGAGCTGGGCCTCTGGAATCAGCCCCATCCATGTGGCCTGTTATTTCTTCACTCAGACTTAATAATATGTGCCTGGGGTCAATTCCCTGCAAATCAGCTTGAACACAATCACATCCTTGGTCACTTGTTCAAAACATTTTCAGACAGGTAGCTGAAACAGATCTATAGTAGCTGCGAGGAGTAGTTTGTGGCCAAAGGAAGATGCCGATGTAAGGCTAGGGTAGAAGGTGAGGCCAGAGTGATGTCTGAACATGTGCTGGTGGCAGTCTGTCTGGCCAGCATTTGCTCTTCTGGCTACAGTGCTGCTGCTGAGGAATGGCTCCATGTGGAAAACATACTGCGGCACCAGGTGAGTTGGTAGCGCACTGACTCGCTGAAGGGGACTGTGATGCGCTTTTAGCTGTGGTTCCTTCACACTGGGGTGGTTATAAGACTTCGCTGCAATGATTATGTGCAAAGCACTTGGCAACCTTCAGCACACACTGAAAACGGATAACGTTCTTCACTCCTACATATCCTGCCACCCCTGCTCGCTGAAAAACTTAACGCTAGGATATTCTCAATTCTGTGACTACGGAGTATTTGAGTATTAAGGTATTCCTGGCTCCATGAAGGTGAGAAAGAAGGGTGCCATTAGTAAAACTAGTAAGAAAAGTATCAAAAAACTTTGAAATGAGGCTGGCACCCCCCTCCTTTTCACTGTTACTCCAGTTATGAAGCAGATCACCAAGCATGACTGTTCTTGTTCTGTACAAGGCCGCATAGGTAATATTCATAAGCTGTTTGCATCTGCCACACACATTCAACTATGTTGTTACAAAGTGAAACTACCACAGACAGTGTGCAGTATGGGCAAGTCATGTGCCAAGGGCCAGTAACATGTAATTGGCTCTAACAGGTGGCTGACCAGATTAGTCCATAACTTGCTGACCCACAGTTTTAGTGAACACAAGTGTGTTTAAATTTGCTTTTTGGGGCCGGACGTTGGTGGCGTATGCCTTTAATCCCAGCACTCTTGAGGCAGAGGCAGGCGGATCTCTGTGAGTTCAAGGCCAGCCTGGTCTCCAGAGTGATAGGCTCCAAAGCTACACAGAGAAACTCTGTCTCGAAAAACCAAAAAAAAAAAAAAAATTGCTTTTTGGTACTTGATTCATATAATGGTACAGTTATTTGCTAGATATGAGATTCTGACTTGTCCAGAAGGTCATAAGCATTTTTCTTCCCTCATGAATGCCATCTATTATATCATAGCCATGTTTTAACACACTTCTAAGATGCTCATAAATATTCACCTTCTTTGATGTCCTTAGGATCATTTTGTCCTCTCTTTCCCTCATCAATGGGTTACATACTTTCTTTGCATGTATTTGCTCACATCTGTGAGAATAGTATTTTCAACTTTAGAAAATGATATTTTGACAAGTTCGTTAATTAGAATAACACTCTAATTACAGAGAATAATATAGCTGTGTCTTGGAATAGGGACCACTACTTTGAGCAGTAGACCACGTGTGATATTTAGCACAAAACTGGCTCGTGTGCATCTGTCCATAGTCCTGTATGTACAGTAGACACTATGAACCCCATTCTGCAGATAAGAAACTAAAACGTCACTATTAGTCAGCATAGTTAACTAGCTATTAATTAGTATAACTTACATGTTCTCCGGGGCTTCCCTTGATTCACAACCTAACAACAGAACTGAATTGTCTCTCTCAGAAAATTAGCTTTGACTTAAGTACAACCCTGTTTGAGCGGATATTTTAGTTTTAATTTGTGACTGTAACCCAATTTTCAGAACCTATCATGTGGCTACAAAAGACACGGATACCAGAGTGTGAGCTCTCCCGTGCCTTTGTGCTCCACTGTATCTCATCCCGACAGGTCTGAAATGTTTTTACCTCCTCTGTTGCACACATTCATTTTGTCGTGCTTATTGTTTTCAGGTGACTTGAAAGAGGGTAAAAATAAGGCAGATAAGAAGGATCACTCCAGCACCGGAAATGATTCAAAGAAAACAGATGGTAAGAGTGTCATTCTCATCATGATTTTAATAGAGTGTGCGACTACTGCAAACATGTTAGCGTTGTGGCAGGAGGGAAGCGGGCTGTTAATTTGCCCTCACATTCCTCCCTGAATGAGACCTCGTTGCATTTAATGAGCACTAGCCACCCTATGCAGTAAGTTACAAACCCCCGCTGTGTCTTTTCCTCTCTAGCCTACTTTCTCATCACAGATGCTTTTTATATGTCCCCCTTTCCTGCCTGGTATTCTTTATTGCAAACTTCAGAGGAAACTTGATTCTAGACTTGCTGACTGCAATTCAGTAGACTAACACACATAGCTAATTTATGAGCTTAGAACCATTGATTGCACAACATAAATAGGATATGTTTAGTGTTTTCAGTTTTCACATTTTTTATCTTGAATAAGCTATTGCTTTTGGTCAAAAATAAACATGAGAATCTGTTCAGTGTTGGGTTGGGAATCAAAATACACTCTTAGACTCCAGTTTTCCCTAGAATGAACAAATACTGAAGACAGTGACAATGCAGGATCATATGAATTGAACCTACAGTGTCATGAATGGGTGTGCAGTGCAATGTATACCATGATTGAACTCATAATGTAAAACAGCTTCACGAATGAATGGGCCTACAGTGTTCCGAATGGGCCTTCAGTGTCAGAAATGAGCCTACACTACAAGGCATTTAATCAATGAGCCTGCAGTGTCATGAATGGGCCTGTTATGTGATATATTTCATCAGCAACTTTCTACTCATCTAAAAGCTTGCAGTGGCAATTACATTACCCTCCCCACTTGGAACTCCTAGATGGTGCCATCTACCCTCACCCATTATATAAATTTCATTTTTTTCACTTGTAACCCAGTCTCCTTCATGCATGGGTATGATAATCAGATAAAGTGAGCTTCTAGGAAGTGGTTTTGTGAAGAATGCCATATTTTCTTTGCATTTTTATCCCCCGTTGACATCCTATTTAGTAATAAGCAGTTGTTGAATAGTTAGTTTATATAGAATATCTTTGAAGAACAAATGCTGGGTAATCAAATTGAGTAATAAAGTGAAATTTAAGGGCAACAATGTAACTATTAAAAGGAGCTAGGAATGGATTTGATCAAAACACATTGTATACTTATATGAAATTCTCAAACAATAAGTAAAAATATATTTTGAAAAAGAAATAAAAAGAAATTCAAGGTCATCCTTGGGTTCAAGATCCCCCTTGGCTACAAAAAAGTTTAAAGCTAAGCAGTTAGGATTTCTTGTTGCTCTTGCAGAGGGCCAGGGTTTGATTTCCATCACCCACATATTAGCTCACAACCATATGCAATTCCAGGTCCAGGGATAAGACAGCCTCTTCTGGCATCTTCAGGTAGTGCATGGATGTGGGACATACATATGCAGGCAAAGCAACCATACATACAAAATAATAAAAATAAAGATTGAGGGAAGGCATCAACCCCTCTTTCTGTAGTCATAATGGCATCTGTCATTACTTTCATATGTAAAATTTGTTTTTAAACTGCTGCTTTTAAAAGCAATGAGAAATGTCCCTTCAGGTGTCTTATCATATTATACCTAAGGAACTCACACCTGTAATTTCTCACCAACTTGTGTATGAAACCAGACACCACTTGCCTAATGAGTGATCCCTCCTTGAATAATTATGACTAAGCAGTGAATTATGCAGAAATAAAATGCAATACAAAATGGTGACTGCTTAGCTCTCTACCCTCTATGAGAAAGATTGTTCAAATACCAGAGATTCTTTGTCAAGTGTCATCAGATCAAGTCAAGGCAACTCACCCCCGAAATTGCTCTGTGGAGGAACAGTGTTTCCTTAAAGCCAGCACTCAGATACCTGCCCCATCCTGCATTTAACAACTGGCCACACTTCCCCATATGAGTTCCTACAGTATAAACACCTAGAGTCAAATCAAGCCCCTAACTTTTAATATGAAAATTTGAACATCATAGGTAACACCATCATCATCATCATCATCATCATCACCATCATCATCATCACCATCATTGTTGAGGATCAAACCCAGGGCCTGTGCATGCTAGCAAAGGGTTTTACCAAGGAACTGACACCCAATCTTCATTTAGTTGTTTTTAAATAACTGACATGATTCCATTATAAGTGCAATGGGTTAAATTTGATCATCTTCATAAAGTCTTCTTATTTTAACTGTGCCCTTTAAGCTGAATTATTCCCAAGTATTTAAAAGAATTAAATTAATTGGTGCAGTGATTAAGTTCTAGATTCTTGGGAACAAATAAGCAGAAAAAGTGATTGTTTTATGAACAGGATTCTCGATCTGATGCTAAAGTGAACTGGCTGCAGTAAATAGTGACAAGCCCTGCTCTCTGTCCCTGACATCCACCTATGGCACAGACCTGCAACTGTTTCAAGAGAGACTCAGTACTCCATGTGCTTGTAAGCTTGTAGGAAAACAGGCTGAGTGTGTTTCACTTCCTTTGTCACTGCTTTGGAATCAGCAAGACTGAGAGCATTAAGCTTGGAAGATTGATGCTATTTTCATTCAAAATCCTTACCTAGACTAAAGCCACTTCTTGGAAGGAAGAAGTGGAAAAGAATTTGATGATTTTCATTTATGCTTTCCTTTTGGTCACTAAAGGCCTTTATTTAGAGAATCAATTGAAAGAAGATATATAGATCAGTAGTTAGGTTGACAAAAATAAGGGAATAAGATTAGAAATATTTCTTTTTAGGGGTCCTATTATATTTGATAACCAGGGGGAATTGCTTGAACTTCCCAGTGACCTTCCTTCCATCCTTACTTCTGAGAATCACTGGAGGCTGTAAGATGCAATATCCTGGTGTCTGTCTCTACCTTTGGGATGCACCTGCTAGGAAGAGTAAGGGTGGACTGTTTGTGTGTCTGGTGTCCTGGCAACAAGGCTGCTCTACAGCATCCTTTTGGTCTCTTTTTTGGACAGATGCATTGCTATCTTCTAGTCACATTTTATTGTTTTCCTGGTTTTCAATCTTGATGAAACTTTGCTTTCTTTAAGGCGGGTGTTCTCAAATGATTTGAGTCTCTTGAGAACTTTTCTTCACCATATTGTCACAAACTTTGTACTCTGTAAATGCATCTTCAGATCATATGATATATATAGTAGGTCAAAATGACAAAAGTCTGGAAACTCTTGCTGTGGCCTGACCTCTTCTCCCATACCCAAGTTAGCATCGCTGTTAACTGGGACCTGGAATCCTAATTACTTTAAATTTAGCCCTTACTAACTTGAGTGCTCAGCTTACTTTTCAGTACTCTGCGCTATTGCATATTACACAAAGATAAACATTCTGGAGTTATTTTCCACGAATAGCTAAGTCCATGTATCTCTCTCTCTCTCTCTCTCTCTCTCTCTCTCTCTCTCTCTCTCTCTCTCTCTGTGTGTGTGTGTGTGTGTGTGTGTGTGTCTGTGTGTGTGTGTGTGTGTGTGTATACATACATACATACATACATACATACATACATACATACATATATATATATATGAGGGAAGCATGCATCCTCCTCAGAGGATTAACACTGTTTCTTTTCCTGGAAAAGTATCTTGCTATAGCTATCTATGTATTGTAAGAAAAAGTAGACATTTCTTTAATAAATGAATTGCCCTTAGCATGAGAATCCAGCATCCTTGTGGGTTGTTTTCCATGAGTACAGAGGGCCAAACATCTGGAGTGCTCTGGGTCGCAATTAAGATAACTCATCATGACAACACACGTTTGATTAATATCCTAGTCCCTTAGCCATTTGTCTATGGAAGCTCCTTTGACCTAATTAAACAAACTGGCAGTAAGTGAAAGCTGTGCTTCAGCATGAAGAAGCAGGAAATGTTTGTTCTTGGAAGCATTATACAATCTTGTTTTCTCAAGTACTTTAGCTACTATCTGAACACACTCCAACGTCCCCACCAGAGAATGGAGGGGAGAGTGGCAATGTTCTTTATTTCAGGTGCTCGCCACTCGTCAGGACAGTGCTTCACCACTGACACTCTACTCGGCTGTGTTGCCTAAATGTATTGATTTGTAAACATCACTGTTGTTTTCTAATTAATTTTTGGATTCTATTCTGTACATTGACCAAACAGTTAGGGATTATGTGAGCTCAGTTATGCAGAAATCTGCTTTTGTGGTTTGAGGATAGCTTTTGGGAATTCTATGGGTACATATGGATGTGGGTGAGAAGTGGACAGGTGAACACTTGCAAAACCTCTGCTTATTTTAGTGATGGACTTAGTCTTAGGATCAGGGAAACACAGGACCTGTGCTTACTCATGGCCCTGGCACTGATGAGTCATGGTGAATCAGACCCATTGTCTCTTTTTTTTTAAATTCATTTTGTATTTGAATTAGAAACAAGATTGTTTTACATGATAATCCCAGTTCCCTTCTCCCTCCCGTCCTCCCCTACCACCCCCCCAACTAAAACCCTGCCTATCACATATCCTTTCTTCTATTCTTCCCCTGACTCAACCTTTCTGTTCCCTCATGACTTCTGCATCCTTCCTCTTCTTCCCAAAATGTGTAGCCCAGGCTGGCCTCGAACTTGTGATCCTCCTGCCTCTGCTTCCTTCAGCAAATTCTACCAGCGTGCGCCACCACAACCTGCCCATTGGCTCTTAAAGAACTAACATCCACCATAGATCAATGCATTGTGAATATAGTTTAGGCTGAATCAATGGTACATTATACAGCAGAAGGTGGTGTGGGGCAGCTATTTACTTTTCCCTGTGGACTTTGTGCTTTGGAAGTTGGGCCAGGCAGTGGTGGGGCATGCCTTTAATCCCAGCACTTGAGAGGCAGAGGCATGTGGACCTCTATGAGTTTGAAGCCAACCTGGTCTACAAAGCTAGTTTGAGAACATCCAGGGCTACACAGAGAAACTCTGTCTCGAAAAAAATAATTAAATTGTGTTATAGGAAGGAAAATATCTAGCACCCATTCATGCTTTTGGTCCAGCCACTTA